TTGTTAATAAATGTTGATTTAATTTGTAACAAAAATATTTTTAACAAATGAATGAGTCCTACAATAATTACAAAATAACATAAATAATAAAAACTATTGCCTGTTTTTTAAACAGAATATTGTTAGATTTGACCAAGTTATAAATTACATAGATTAAATTTATTTTTATGTTTAATACATTAATTTATAAACTTTACATTATATTTTATGTATTATCTAATGGATATTATTGCAGTTTGATAACAAAGTAAAACTTATACTGTACACTATAAACAAAAATCAGCGCATACTTTTTGCACTTTATGATTTTTATAACACAGTATACATGTATAAAAAGATCTTAATTCAAGAATTATAACATGTAAAAATAACATTCATATCATGTCGATTAAGTTTAATTTTGCTGGTAAAGTGGCCCTGATCACTGGGTCGAGTTCAGGTATCGGTGCGACCACAGCCATACTGTTTGCCAAATCGGGAGCTAATGTTGTGATCACCGGTCGTAACGCCGAGCGAGTGTCAGATGTGGCCAAACAGTGTCTCGACGTATCGCCCGATGGCTTAAAAGCGCTGGAAGTGGTGGCAGACGTGACCAGTGATGAGGATCTTCAGCGATTGGTCGACACAACTATCACTACTTTTGGTAAAATAGATATTTTGGTCAATAACGCGGGAACCGATGAGTCAATGTTTTTTGTGGACACGGATTATATGCAAAGCTATCGAAGAGTGCTAAACATGAACTTAGATTCCGTTGTCTTCTTAACCCATATTTGTGTCAAACATTTGGAAAAAACTAAAGGAAATATCATTAATATATCGAGTATTAATAGCGTTCAAACGGTACTTAAATAATTATCTAAATTATTAATTAATTTGTTAATCAATTTACATTTTTAATTATAAATGTAAAGTTAAATCAATTCTCGTCATATTGTATGTCAAAGTCAGCGTTGGATATGTTTACTAAATGTATTGCCGCAGAGTTGGGGCCTAAAGGCATACGTGTAAACAGTGTTAAGTATGTGTTTAGTAAAAATTAAATGATGATAATTTTTAAAATTAACATGAGTGTATTTTACAGTCCAGGTGCCGTAGAAACAGGCAATGCATTAGAGAGTACAGACAATTTACCCGATGTTTATAACAGCGACTGTTACGCAAAATTATACCCTGTGGGCCGGTATGGTGTGCCCAATGATATCGCTAATGCTGTACTATATTTGGCATCTAATGATAGCTCATTCATAACGGGTACGGCTATTGTGGCCGATGGCGGGCACCTGGCGGCCAATGTCAACATTAATAACTAAGATCTTTTTATGAGTTATTATTATCGAGCTTAATTCATTTGTTACCTATTACTAAATAAATAATAATAATCCATATTGCTTGTATTATTTTAAGCCTATGATAATAATTTTATATGAATTGACTATATTTTGAACTATGGCTTTTTATATTAAATTGTAATTTAAACTATGTTAAATAGGAATAATAAATATATCAATAAAATTTTACAATTCATTAATTAAGTAATTTAAATTACATGTATAAAATTTACTACAAAAATAACTTGATTGCTGTATGATGACAATATTATTTTGAGTGTTAGTTTTCAAGGATTTTTATGTTACCATATTTAGTTAGTAATGCTTGTGAGTCTATCAGCATCATTTCTACTGTAGATACATTGGTTTTATCAGATTTCAGGGACATTAAGGTGAGTTTTACAATCAAAACTATTTATCAAATTTAATATAAATTATAATTCAAATAAATATAACACAATTAATGTTTAATAAATGTTAAGATAAAAATTAGTACTACATTTACAAATAATTACTTACATTTACAATTACAACTACAAAATTTGTATTAGTAGTACAAACTAGTATTTAATACTAATACACAATACATGTTGTATTATAACTTTAGCTTAATTTTAATTACTATTTATAATCAATTACTTATTAAAAGTAAGTAGGAAAATAAAAAGCAAATATAAAATAAATATATCAGATAACAAAGTAATTTGCAATAGAACTTAATAAGTGGGTAATGATCTAAAAATCTAGGTGCATTACTAAAGGACCTGCTAAGAAACATAATATTTAGCATTACTGTAGTTAATACGTTAATACTGTAGTTAATATCAAAAAAGACCTTCAAAAGTTTACTTTTAGTTCTATTATAGTACCACATAATTTAGCCTTTATAAACGAATTGAAAACATATACTAATACAGTATAATCATTATTACAGACAAAAGTTATATTGAATCAATAGTTTGAATCAACATAAAGCAAAATGTCTGTTACATATAATTTTGCCGGCAAAGTGGCCCTGATCACTGGGTCGAGTTCGGGTATCGGTGCGGCCACAGCCATACTGTTTGCCAAATCGGGAGCCAATGTTGTGATCACCGGTCGTAACGCCGAGCGAGTGTCAGAAGTGGCCAAACAGTGTCTCGACGTATCGCCCGATGGCTCGAAGGCGCTGGAAGTGGTGGCAGACGTGACCAGTGATGAAGATCTTCAACGACTGGTCGACACAACTATCAAGACTTTTGGCAAAATAGATATTTTGGTCAATAACGCCGGAGCGGTGGCGGGAGGCGCGGGTCTCAGCGATAATAATTACATTAATGGTTTCCGACAAGTTTTAAAGATGAATCTGGATTCATGTGTAATGTTAAGCCATTTATGTGTAAACCATTTGGAAAAAACAAAGGGAAATATTATTAATATTTCTAGCGTTCGTAGCTTTCAAACGGTATGTGTTAATTATAATTAAATAGTAATTATTAATTAGTATTAATAGTAATTATTAATTACTAATTAATTATATTTAATTGTAACAATTAATAACCATATTTTTCACAATAAATAGGCACCAAATTTATCGGCGTATTGTATGTCTAAGTCAGCGCTGGATATGTTTACCAAATGCATGGCCGCAGAGTTGGGGCCCAAAGGCATACGTGTAAACAATGTTAAGTATGTACACAATATTTAACTAAAGTTTTAATTAATTCACCTTAATTAATTAATTCAGCTTTATTTCACCGATATTTGCATAAACTAACCATAATAGCTTTATTTTATTGTCATTTCTAGCCCGGGTGCTGTCAAAACTAATTTACCTCAAGCAGCCGGTCTATCCGATGAAATAGCCCAGACTTTCTACGACATGTACGGCAAGCTTTACCCCGTGGGTCGGTATGGGTTGGCGCAGGACATCGCGCACGCCATCGTGTTTTTGGCTTCGGACGAGTCATCCTTTATGACCGGTACGACACTGTTGGCCGACGGCGGACACCTGGCGGCCAATGTGGCATTTAATCCAGCTAATCTTAAGAAATAAACATTATGAACTAGTTTTAGTTAGTACTTAATTGAGGTATAATTTTGTTATTTTATGAACACTTTTAATTTAGATAATATATTTTGTGTAATCAATACTTATTAAATACTTTTCTAAATGTTTACTTATATAAGTAACTTTATATATTAATATGTAAAGTAAAACCTTTATTTTGGAGTTTTTATAACTTGTAATTGTAATTATTAGCAGTGGGCATGTGTGTATCTATCATTAAAGCAACGTTGTTTATTAACTACCCTAGAATATTCTGAATAAAATGCTCATTATGCAATTACATGAAAACACATGAATACAGGGTATGTGTAGTGTATAAACACTGACAGTGTGGGACATTTATTTTACACGGTGTGTTAATCACCTTTGACTACAATTTATCTATCAGATTAATTTGTATACTGTATGTGAATAAGTTAGATATACAGTACATTTTTATTGTGTATTTAGTCTTAGACTAATAGTCTAGTTGTAAACATAGTTAAATATACTGTGTGTAACAATAATAACAATAATTACTACTACTGTTTATTACATTTATACGTAATATTGCTGAGTTAACATCAATTAATTGTTTTTGAAAGTTATCTACTGTATAAAAGTCCTTCATTAGTTTAGTATTAGTGCATTTATCACACATTTATACAGTATATTAACGCTGCAATCCAATCAACAAAATGTCCATTACGTATAATTTCGCCGGTAAAGTGGCCCTGATCACTGGGTCGAGTTCGGGCATCGGTGCGGCCACAGCCATACTGTTTGCCAAATCGGGAGCCAATGTTGTGATCACCGGTCGTAACGCCGGGCGAGTGTCAGAAGTGGCCAAACAGTGTCTCGACGTATCGCCCGATGGCTCGAAGGCGCTGGAAGTGGTGGCAGACGTGACCAGTGATGAAGATCTTCAGCGACTGGTCGACACAACTATCACTACTTTCGGCAAAATAGATGTTATGGTGAATAACGCGGGATCAGCTCTAAAGGCAGACATCACTGCCACTGATTTCATGGATAACTACAGACAAGTATTTAAGACAGACTTGGATTCCGTTGTCTTCTTAACCCATATTTGTGTCAAACATTTGGAGAAAACAAAAGGAAATATCATTAATATTTCCAGCATTAGAAGCGTTCAAACGGTACTTAAAATTAATAAATTTTTTTGTAATTAAATAAATCAAATTAAAATTAATTACATTAATAGGCGCCTCAATACTCGCCGTATTGTATGTCAAAGTCAGCGCTGGATATGTTTACCAAATGCATGGCCTCGGAGTTGGGACCTAAAGGCATACGCGTTAATAGCGTTAGGTAAGCATTTAATTTCATATATGCACAATTAATTACCTTTATACAATGTTTATATTTATTACATATGAAGTCCCGGTGCCGTTAAAACAAACTTTTCATTGAACACTGGTGTGTCTCAGACAGACTCCGACCAGTTTTACGATACATACGCCCGACTCTACCCAATCGGTCGGTACGGCGAGGGCTCAGACATCGCTAATGCGGTCTTGTATTTGGCTTCAGACGACTCTTCATTCATAACGGGCTCGAGTCTGGTCGCAGACGGCGGACATCTGGCCGCTAATGTTAGCTTCAATCGATATCAAAACTAATAATTGTTGTACCATGATTACCAATCTATGTACAACTTTATTTAGTTTACTTATAATTTTGCAATAAATATTTTTTTACATTTGATCATGACGTTTTAATTTGTTAGTTTTTAAATTAGTATTTAATAATAATAAATGATTACTGATAATAAATAACAGTCACCTTTAGGTTTACCTGTGCTTAATATAGTATTTCTCTTATTTTTTCAAATAATGTAATAATTTTTAAAATACAAATATGTATAACTGAACTAAAAATAACAAGGTTAGAAAGGTTATTAAAGCATTAAAGCTCATAAGTGTTCCTTAATAATAAATTAATTTAGATTGTTAATTTAGATATTAAACAGGATCTATTTTAACTTATTTTTCTAATACTAGACAGTACTATTTTATAATATTGATTGTCCCACCAATAATTAAATTAAAATATAGATAAAAAGTTTATAACTTTATGGCAGACAGTATTACATGTAATTTTATTTCTCGGCACAAAACAGCAACAACAAAAAATCATATAAATATTGAATACAAAACAATAATTTTTTGTTGTACACTAATTGACACATTATTTACTGTACACCAAACCCTCGCTAACAAGTCATGCAGTGGTTATCAGCCATAATACTAATCGTATGCCTGACCGGAGCGTTAGGGGCATCGTTGGAGACCAAACCGGTGGTACGTTTGGCCGGCGGTCGGGTAGTGGGCGGTGAGGACGCTCAGGCGGGTCAGGCCCCGTGGCAGGTGTCCATTCAGGTGAACGGCTGGTTCGGGTGGAGTCATAATTGTGGCGGTTCTCTGGCCGGCAAACGCTCGGTAGTCACCGCTGCCCACTGTGTCGACACGTATGTGCATTATTATTACTTATAAATAATATAGTTTATTTTTTTTAATTATAATACTTTTATGTGTTAAATGTTGTGTTTAAACTCACTTTTAATTATTTAATTAATTATCTAATTAGTAATTACTTTATTTTTCTAATTATCTAAAGAAATATTTATTTTATTTTTAAATATATTATCGTTAGGTATTTACATTTATATTAAAGTTACCACTATGGTTATTGTAATCGATAATGTTTACTGTTTTAAGCTAGTTTAATTATTAATTCGATAAACAATCTGCAAACTATACTCATACAATAAGCTAATTGCTTTATACATCTAATATTATAAGTAAATCAAGTTAAAACAATCATTGTCAATTAAATTATAGCTACCAACCGGCTGAATTAAAAGTATGGTACGGGGGTCTGAACCGGGAACAACTGGCCGTAAACAACGAGATCGAAGCAATCAAATACCACGATCAGTGGAATGTACCAAGCCAATTCGACTACGATTACGCCGTGCTCAATCTGAAACAGAACATCCAGCAAACTGAGACCATCAAAACCATCGAGTTGGCCACCTCTACACCCGCCGCGGGCTCCCCGGCAGACCTGACCGGTTGGGGCCGTACGGCGGGCAACAGTCAACTCCCGATACCTTTACAGTATCAGAGGTTGGCTATTGTTGACTATAATGACTGTAACACCCGGTACGGGACCATAATGGAGGTGACACCTCGTATGCTGTGCACTGAGCACAAGACCGCCAGCGTTTGTGGGGTATGTATCCATGTGTAGAGATCATGTTAAATTTAATTTATTGTTTTAATTTAAATGATCAGGGCGATTCAGGTGGACCTTTGGTGGTTGCTGGTCAACTGGCCGGTATTGTATCATGGACAATGAGTGATTGTAGACCTGATACCACTGGCCACTTGAGCGGTTACGCCGATGTGGCCAATCAGCGAGCGTGGTTGACAGAGCGGATTATATAAATATATTTAAAAGGCTTGATATTTAACATTGTAAAAATTTTGTTATGATTTGTATTCAATAAATTGCATTATAAAATAGTTTCTTATTTATAAAATGTCCAAATGTTTGACCATTTGTTTTGACTGTGTTCTTGTGTTATTAATACATCAACTTAAATGTTTAAGTATTTTGTAAATTGCTTACGAGTTAGTGTTATGGCATTAGATTATTAAATACACATTATTAATACATGGCTTATCTCTAAATAAAAACTAATTAAGTGAAATTCCTAAGTGTAATATTTTTATTTAATAACAAGAGATTTTTATAATGGTCAATTTATTAAGATGCAATTTCATATAAAAAAGAATCAACATAATATGTATTTTAATAATAAATGACAAAAGGACTTTTTGGGCTATCATACACTTTATGATCATATTTTGGTTAACCATTTACAGCGCTGTTTTGTACCATGGTACTTTATGTTTATAGTCCTTTTATACACACTCTTTGAGCTCATATTTTATGAAAATTTATTTAAATTAAAAGTCAATTTACAACTCATTAAATATACAGTATTAACAACAATATGAAAATTGCAATAATACT